GCCCTGGGGCAGCCCCGCTCCCCTCTGGCCTCACCCGTCCTCCCCCTTGCTCCTCAGGTGGGAACCTCAGCTTCCCCTACTCCCCTGGGCTGACCTACAACAGCATCTACTCGCCTGGCCCCCACCCCGTGGGGGGCTACCAGGGGGGTGTGCAGATGAAGGGCCCCGAGGCGGAGGGGTCCAGGAGCGACAGGCAGGCGCCTGCGGAGAGCATGTACTGCAAGGAGCTGCAGAAGCACGGTAGGAGAGGGCTGGGCTGGAGCGAGGGCTGGGGGACATCGCTCAGGAGAGGTGGCACAGGTTGGGGACCTTTCAGGGCCGGGTGCTGCTCTCCTCCGTGCTCAGGGGGGGATGCAGGAGGGTGGATGGGGCTGCTGCTCCTGGAAGTGACGTCCTGCTTTGCCCCCCAGCCCAGGTCTGCCAGCTGTGGGTGCTGGCGCTGGCCCGTCGCAATGCCCATGCCCTGCTCGACTACTCAGTCACTGCTGACCCCCGCATGCTGCTGGCGGTCCAGAGGCACCTGGCTGCATCGCAGGACGAGAATGGAGACACGTGAGCACACGAGGGGTTTGGTGGGAGAGCGTGGGAGCCTTGTTGGCTGTCAGGGCCATTATGAGGGCTTCTAGGGGATGGGAGGTGGCAGGGAGGACCTGGAGAAGCGTGGAGCTGAGCCGGGGCCATCCTACTCTCTCTGCAGGCCTTTGCACCTCGCTATTATCCATGAGCAGACGGCTGTGATCAAGCAGCTGATCGAGGTCATTATTACCATCCCCAGCCAGCAGGTCATCAACATCTCCAACAACCTGCAGCAGGTACACGTTTCCCAGAGCAGCCAGCTCTCCTCTACCTGGGGCTCGCTCCCATTTCCTGACTCCGGGGGCTCTTACTGCTCCCGTTGGGGGAGGCTGCAGGGCTGAGCACAGTGCAGCCTCTCTGGCAAGAACAGTGCTGTGGGACTCGGCTCCTGCGAGCGCTGCTGAGGGGGTGCTGCTGTCCTGCAGACGCCGCTGCATCTGGCAGTCATCACCAAGCAGCCCCAAGTGGTCCAGCTCCTGCTGCAAGCCCGTGCTGACCCCACCTTGCTGGACCGCTACGGCAATTCCCTGCTGCACCTGGCGCTCCAGGCTGGTGATGAAGAGATGCTGAGGACACTGCTGGCCCACCTGGGCTCAGCTGCCCCTTACCTGCTCCACCTGCCCAACTTCCATGGTGAGCAGGGCTGGGAGACAACGGGCAGGAACCCGGTGGTACTGTCACGGGCTCAGCTGGAGGGCTGCTGAGCCTCTCCCCCTGTTGCAGGCCTCCTGCCTGTGCACTTGGCTGTGAAGGCAAAGAGCCTGGCTTGCCTGGACCTGCTGGTCAGGAAGGGAGCAGATGTGAATGCGGTGGAGAGGCAGGGTGGGAGGACCCCGCTGCACTTGGCTGTGGAGATGGAGAACCTGAACATGGCCACCCACCTGGTGAAGAAGGTAGGGGGCTGCTGGTGGGTTGGTGGCCGTGGAATGGGGCTGGGGTGCAGCCTCCCCTGGGGCCCTGGGGGTCCTCGTGGGGGGTGGGGCAGTGCCCAGGCAGCCCATCCTCACAGCCTCGGGCCTTTCTTCATAGCTGGGAGCAGATGTCAACCGTCCAACCTTCGCCAAGAACACCCCCCTGCACCTGGCTGCCGGCCTGGGCTCCCCCACCCTCACCAAACTGCTCCTCAAGGCCGGTAAGGCACTGCCCTCTCCCCTCCCCGCAGCCCCGGCTGCCCGTGCTGGGGGGTGCCCGGGCACAGAGCAGACCCCTGTGTCCTGGGCCGACCTGCCCTTCGGGGGGCTCAGTCTACCCTTCCCTGACAGGGGCAGATGTGCTGTGCGAGAACGACGAGCCCATCAGCCCATCCTCATCAGAGGCCAGCGACACGGATGCTGACCCCGAGGAGCAGGAGCTGGCCATGGAGCTGGGGGAGCCAGTCCTGGCCGTGGAGCGCAGCACCAGCCCCAAGCCCCCCATGCAGGGGCACGGGCAGGCAGGGCACAGGCAGCGCCATTGCCACAGG